AAAAAAGCAAGTGCCAAAAAAAAAAAAAAGAAAAGAAAAGAAAGAGAGAGAAAGTGATCAATAAAAATAAATCAGTTCTGCCATTGAAACCAGACATGGCTCCAAACTGGGCTCAAGCCTCCTTGTTCCCCAACTCTTTGCCCAAAACACTGCTGGCAAGTCCAAAAAGTAGCCCCCAGTAGCAGATTTTTCCATATCCCTAAAACATGTCGACCAACTCAAAATGGACGCCTCAATATTTTTTTTCCCCACACGTTTTAACTACTGCTTATCTTTTTACTATTATGATTAAAATAACTCTCCCTCCCCTCCCCACCCCCAGCAAGAGCTTTTAAGAAACGGATCTCATTTTGAAAACGTACATTGCCTCACTTGAGGCTTAGGAAAAATGGATGTTTTATTCTCTGCTCTCGGGATTTTTTCAGCTAACGCAGCCACTTTTCAGATGTTTAGAAAGTGCATGGTCGAAACAAGGAGAGAGGAAAAACAAAACAGAACAGAACGGAATCCATCAAATCCTTACTTGTTTTTCATTAAGAGCTGCTATTCTTGATTGCCTTTCGTGGATTTGTTTCTTAAGATCCCCGTTCTGCAAAAATGGCAATAAGATGCATATTAAAGGCAAAGTGCAAACTAGCCCCTGTCATGAATAAACTTACCACGTCTAGAAATTGTTCAAAGCCCAGAGCGGTCCCCCAAAGCCGTACAAAAGCATGCACACACACAGAAACCCACCCTCTTTAAGTCAAAAAGCTTAGTGCAGGGCTACAAAATGAGATCTCTTACTGATAAAGTTTTTCATCCTGCTGTCCCAGCACAACTGCGCTTATTACAGCAGGGATAAAATACTGAAGGGGGGTTGGGGGAAAGGATCTGCATTTACCTGTGGATCTTGCTTCATCTGTGCAACTAGTTTCTATATATATAAAAAAAAAAATCACCCCCCCCCAAAAGGAGGAATTAGAAACTGTTTCAAGTTTGATGGATTTTTAAAATGTGTATATGTGTGTGTGTGTGTGTGAGAGTATGTGTGTGTGTGTGTGTGTGTGTGTGTGTGTGTGAGTGAGTGGGTGTGTGTGAGTGTGTGTGGAAAGGGGAGGGAGGGGTGAGGAACAAAGAGGCAAGTAAACACTGTGAGTCAGTTTCAAGCAAAGCTCATAAATATTCAAGTCTCGTCCTAATCTCTCCAACACACACATACACACATCCACACACAGATACATACACCACACACACACACACACACACGAACCAACCGCAATGTTCACTTAAGATCTCCACAACCCCCAGACACACACACACAAAAACTCAAGCAAACAAGCTGCCAAACTACTTTTGCAGAGTGCAAGATAATCCTGGGGGGTGGGGGAAGAGGGAAAAGAGGATCTGTGTCCCCCCCCCACCAGGGTCGCGGCACCCCACAACCGGGGGAGGGGGGGGAGGAGGGGAGAGAAATGGGGGGGGGAGAAGAACAACGTTTCTTTTCCCCTCTTTACCTGATGACATTGGATTTCCACTTTTCATGCCTCTTGCAAGCTCTGGAGCTCCATCCCTGCAACTTGCCAGGCACTTTCCTGCCACTTTCGGATCCGAAGGAAGTTTAATCTTTATTTATTTAATTTGTTCTTTTCCTTCTTTCTTTTTTGGCTTTATTATTATTATTTTTCTTTCTTTCTCTTTCTTTGCCTTTCCCCTCCCTCTTTTCTTTTCTTTTCTTTTTCTTTTTGGCACTAGCCCTCCCTCCCACCCCCCAACCCAAAAGGAAAAAAAAAGAAGCAAAAAAAAAGAAGCAAAAAACCAAAAAAAAAGAAAAAAGAACAAAAACCCTTCCCCCTGCGCCCAGCCCGGCCCCTTGCCCTGCCCGCGCCCCGGGGGCTCTTTTAATAAAAGAAAAGAGAAAGGAAGGCAGGAGACTGACAATGAGAAAGAAAGGGAGAAAGGAAAAAAAAACCACAACAACAATCGAAAGAAACAACTACTCAGGCTGCAAAGCAAGTTCTTTGCCTCTTTGCTAGGGACACAGACTCATCACTCCCCCGGCGGCCCCGCTCCGCCCAGGAGCCGCCGCGCCGCCGCCCGCCGCCCGATCGCCCCTCCGGTGGGGACGAGAAGGACTTAAAACGCCAGGGACTATATTTTCTCAGAGTGCGCGCCTTGATTTCACTTTGCCTCGGGAAAAGTTGTGCCTCGGCTGTCAATGCTAATGCCGAGGTGCCCGGATGGAGGGAGGAGGAGGAGAAGGAGAAGGGGAAGGGGACCGAGGGCTCTGGGCTGGCGCATGCGCGCTGCAGCTGGGGACGAGAGAACAACAAACTGCTGGGCAGCGGGAGCAACTCCGCGGCCCGGGGCTTAAGGGGACCTCAGCTCCCCATAATTAAGGGGACCTCAGCCCCCCATAATTCCCCCCCCCCCTCCCCGGTGTGTGCCAAGTCTGGGGCTGCCCTGCTCTGGAAGGGAGAAACCTCCCCACACACACCCCTCAACTTCCCCCTGCCTCAGAAATGCACCACTCAGGTGGAAGCGGAGGGTAGGGTTGCCAGCCCTCCAGGAGGAGTCTCCAGAAATTAGGTAGAAATCTCCAGGAGACTGCTGAGAGTTATCGGAGAGAGAAATAATAGGGCATTCATTGAAATCAATATTAAATGGTGAAACCGATTTGTATAGTAGTCCAGTGATTTTTTTTAAATGTAATAGTCACGTGAATTTGCCTTCGGAACGTCAAGTCTACACGCCGTAATCCATAACCGATATACGCGAGCACGCGGGCACATTCGCATAGCGTGTCGAGGGTATGCTGGTGTTCTGGAAACATCCCAGAACAGAGTCAAACTGAGTTGGCAACCCTAGAGGAGGGGCAGGGTGCCCAGCCCAGCTGGTATCCTCTCACACTGACTTCCACGCCCCTCTGTGTGAGGGAAGTTTAAGTTGAATAATAGAAACAACTTTCTCAGGAGAGGGGTGGCGAAGCACTGGAACAGGTTACCCAGAGAGATTGTGGCATCTCCATCCTCAGAGGTTTTTAAGACCTGACAGGACAGAACCTTGGCTGGGATAATCTAGTTGGAGATGGTCCTGCTTTGAGGAAGGGGCTGGACTAGCAGCGTTTCTCAACCCGTGGGTCACAGCCCAAAAGTGGGTCACAAGAATATATGGAAGGGTCGCAAAAAAACTTGAAAAATGGATCATCAAACTTTAAAAATGGATTCTCCTTTATAGGAGAAAAATGGGGAAACCATGGTTTTTTCCTTGCAGGCTGGCAGAGTTCCAGCCTGCCAGGGCTGCTTGGGGACCCCCCCCCATACCTCACAAACCCTCCCCCCACCCCACACACCCACCTCCTGTCCCACACACTGGGGAGCTGGGGCCTGGAGGTCAGGGGAAGCAGGTCAGGAATGAGGGACACTGGATTAGGACTGGCCATCAATTGTTTACAAATGGGTCCTGGTACAAAAAAGGTTGAGAACCACTGGACTAGATGACCTCCTGAGGCCCCTTCCAGCCCCTCTTTTCTATGATTCTCTGCCTTGGTTTTCCACCCTACTCTCTTGTCTTCCCCACTATTTCATTTCTCCAACATTTTTTTTCTCACCTCTTCCAGGTCTCCAGAAGGTATCCTCCAAAATAATTTAGCTGCCTGCCTCTCAAAGCAGGCAACAATGTGCCTTTCTTACCTTGATCAGTTTAGACAGGCTAGAACAGGGGCAGGCAATATTTCGGGTGGAGGGCTGCTTACTGAGTTTTGGCAAGCTATCAAGGGTTACATGACAGGCAGCCAGGGGCAGGTAACTATTAATTTTCTAAATTTTTAGGGGCCCCGCGGGCCAGATAGAATGGCCTGGCGGGCTGCATCCGGCCTGCGGGCCGCATTTTGCCTACCCCTGGGCTAGAAACTGACCTCTTGGGTACCTCATGAAAGAAATGTTGGCAGTTTACCACACACACACACAGTAATCAAGGGTTAAGGTTGAGAAGGTCTCTGTCCATTCTTTGAGAGTTAAAACACTGAACGACAGTAGCCAAGACATGCACAGCTTAACGCTGAATGTTCAGGCAAGGTTCCCACACATGAAAAAAATAAAATCAGAGCACATAGAAATACATACTAACTCCTTCTCAATCCAAGCAATCTTAATCATAACTGTTTGCCATTGACCTGAAAGCAATGAGGAACTTGATGTACACAAAAAGTTTGCGCTGGTTTAAAATGAGGTGTGGGGTTTTGCTGATTTGCAGAACTTGGTATGTGAACGCCCTTGTGGTTTGGCTAACCTTAATAGAGATGAGACTGAATCAACAGTAGGACTGTGTACGCAGGTAGCTGTGCCAGTTTAATTACATCAGGGCAACATCACACCTTTCTTTAAACCAGTGTGATGTCTGTACTTGAGCAAACCTCCATGACAGTGGAATCTGCAAACAGTGCTCAGAATAATTTTATATGTATCAAAATTAAGGTCAAATCTTAATTAAGTGGTCAGACACTACAATGATGAGGACAAGTATCTTATAAGATTGTTTCATTCCAACGCTAATTGCATTCTGCTTTTTAATTGGAAACCCACCGAAGGTATACTGTAACCAGCAAGTTGTGTTTAGAACACCACCATTCTCCAAATATGGTTATACATTAATTTTCAACTATATATATTCCTTTTACAAATTAAAGACATTAGACATATTCTGGTTGCCTTTTACAACCAGGTATCTATTGGATAGGAGGCTACCACCAACCTAAATCAAATTTACAGTGGTGAAGTCAGTGGTCCTCAATTGGTGTCTCATGGGTGCAAGCCCATGTTGCTCATAGTCACAAAAAATTTGCTTTCCATATATTAAAAAGGCTTTTTTTAATCCTTAAAATGGTAAACACTGCTCCTGACATTTTTAAATTGCTTACTTGTGTTACAAATGACATATTCTGTATTATAATTAACTATTAAAACATTCTAAATTACTTTTCACTATTTTTCCCCTTTTGCACACTCAAAGTTGAATGATGAAAATCCACTAGCAAGTTTCACTTCTCTTTAAAGAGCATTTCCTATCAATTTCACTTTCTCTAGCTCTCGCTTTAAATCACTGTCCTTTCTCCATGTTTGAATTGTAAACATTGCATAGGAATGTTAAAATCCACACAAATGAAACATGTTGTTTTGGGTTTTTTTTTTTAAATACAGGCTCTACGTGACAATACTATAGCAATACTGAGTTTCGAAAATATTTTTTTAGGCAAATCTATTTTATTGAGCCTCAATTACTAACTGATTTCTTTTTAAGTAATTATTTTTAAATAGAAACTGTTTATTAGGCATTTTGGTATATAAATACTAAACAGAAAAGTTAAAATACTTTATCATATATGGACTTAATTTCAACAACCTTAATCACACAAGTAAGGAATAAGAAGCAAATCCTGTAAATATTTATGGATGTGAAAACCTTTGTCTATGTGAGTCAGTGTGTCCATTCCTAGAAGTAAAATTATCTGTGTGTACAGGCATTTGCAAGATCACACCTCAACATCAATAAGGGTTCACAGGATTGTTCCCATATACCTATTAAGGCTAAAACAAATCACACAGATGAGTAACTCTAGATTAGGCACACAAGAAGTTTAATTGATCTATAGGGGGGCAGACGGAAATGACATTTGCCACACGATCAGCCCCTTGAACGCACTCCACAGCCATGCCATGACAAAAGTGCTTTAAAAGTGCCTGATCATGCAACAAATTAACTCTCATGTAATGTGGGTTCAGGTGAAGGCTCTCCAAAGCAAAGTATCTTCATTAACATCTGTCTGTCCCTGAGCATGATTAGCCCCAATGCTGTCTACAGAATGGGAGGAGACTGTGGGGGAGGGGGGTTCCAATTCACCTGCCCCCCACCCCAGCTCAGGCAGAACAAACCCCAGCTTGCAGCATCCTCCCCTCCCTTCTCCCATCCTACAGACAGCACTGCACTGGAGCCTGGAGAGGAGTGCAGAGCTAGGGGAGACAGGCTGCAAACAGGCAGCTCCTCGCGGATCAGCTCCTCGTGGAACTGGATCTACGTCCCCCCCAACAGTGAACGTCTGTTGGGTAGGGGGGCATTGATCTAACTCATGGCACTTTCTTAGAGTGAGGAGCTGCATATCTGTCAGGTTCCTAAGAGTCTATTTACAGACTGAAAGTTATGCTAAGCATACATTTGAAAACTAGCAACTTAAAAGTCTTTGTAAAGCAGAAGTAATTCTTTCTGAAGCTATTGAGTTACACCAGTGGACAATGGCTGTACGATCAGAATGAGGTCCTAAAATATAAACAACTAAGTTACAGTTATTGAATACAATTCATGTATTTTTTACACATCATTCCATTACAGGTCCATTAGTGTTTTGTTTTAAAGGATGGTTTGCTGGTATTAAACACATGTGTAGACCAATTACAGCAGCAAAAATACTTTTGCATACTATAAAATGCATACTAGGGGGCTAAACTTGATGATCTTCCAAAGTCCCTTCCAGCCCTAATGTCTATGAAATCTATGAAAAATATTCTTTTCTTAATCAAAATAAAACTGTCAGTTATTTTTAATCTAGTTTTTGCTATTTCAGGAAGTTGTTTAGAAGCTGACAGGGTCTTCTAAAACAATAGAAATGTGGAAACGTATAAAGTTACCCACTAGAAGGTAATATCATTATCATTTCCACACCAGTGAAGTATTGAGTATAGGAAATATA